GGGGGGGGGATTTTGGAGCTGGAGAGGAAAGAAGGCAGACTCTGCATTCCTTCACCTCTTTCCATCCTCATTAATAATCCATTAGCAGGAGTTGGACACAAAAACACAAACTATTGCTGGAAGATCAAGGCAGTCTCCCAACGCCCCCTTCCCCCTTTTTGGCACCAAGGCTGCTTGGCCCAATCCAGCTCCAAAACTCAAGGGATTAGCACTATCAGGAACTGCAGAAAACCAGATGATTCCACAGCAATTCCAGAGCCCCGAGTTTGGAGCAAGTCATTGTTGCAAACAAATGGAATCACTTATAGGCACAGAGCCGTGATTAACTGCAAAAACCCCTTAAAAGGTAGTTTTACATTTTGAATGGGAACGTTAATCCAACGCATGCAGAGTTAAAATATCAGAATTCAGGATTGGTTCACTCAACCACACCAGGGTGAGTGGCTGAAAAGTCTCTTTACAGGGTGCATTAAAAACTCTAGGAATCCCACCCAAGGATCAGTCACACCAGCATGGTGACCCGCACAGGTAGTGAACACAAAAGAGAAATCAGCATTTATGTGTCGCATCAACACCACTGAAAAATCCCAAAGAGGTTCAGCATTAAAATAAATGACAGCGATTTCAGCTCATTGATGTAAAAATCTGAAGGCTATTCTGTAAAAAACCCTGCAACCATTGAGAGAAATGCCCATTTTTGGTTCAAATCCTCACCACAAGCATCACACTTCCCTTCCAGCCCCCAAATTACAGCTTCTGACCCCATCACAGCTATTTTTGCCATCTTTCACACCCAGAAGGGCCGGACCAGTTGGGAGAGTTCACCAGGATTAAAAACTGCCGAGCATCCCTCAGAAAGATGGACCATACAAATGAGATTTCCACACAGCATTTAAGGCAAAAAATCACAATCAGATTAGACACACTCTCAGACATTTAACACAGAGAGGGAAAAGGGACTTATCCGAAATTTATCAGCCATTTTGGGGAGGTTTAAGGGAAAATTTGAGACATTTCAGTAGCCTAGTGTGATGGTAGCAGGGAGGTTGCCTGAAGTTGTTCTTATCAGGAATCTTCCCTTAGCAAAGGCAAACTCAGCTCAGCAACCACGCAGCCACCTCTGGGCTCTGCTTGCTCCTGCTGTAAATTACCTCATCCATTTGTCATATTTTTAGCACTTTTTGGGCTGGGCTGCAAGATCTGCAGGAGATGCATTTTAACCTTTGGTAGCGACTACTCAAGGACAGAAGTGGTTTATGAGCCCTCGCTGTGTAAAAAAATGTCAGTATTAAATGTCTGCAGCTCAAACCATGGAGCTATTTACTGAAGCTTTATACAAACTAATTAAATATAAGGCTCTCATGGGACACGAGGAGAAAGAAAAGGAGAATTAAGAGATAAATCACTGGCTTTTCTTTCCTCAGCAAGTGTACACTCCAATTTAATATATTAAACCAAAAAACACCCTGACAGCCCTTGCTTGGGCACAGAGAGGCAGCATCCCAATCTCACATGGAACGCACTGCACAGCATAAATTAATTATCTCTGCCTCACCACAACTTGCACAAAGGAATTGGGAGAGACAATCCAGACAAGGGGATGAGCTTGAGATATCAAAGGCTCCATATGGAGTGAGGGAAGCTCAGTTTGCAGCTTCCCAGGGCTCCCAGGCTTTGTAAGCACATGGCATAGGGAGGTATCAAAGGAGCGCCTCCCTCCCCTGCCGGCCCCCGGTCATCCTGGCAGGAGAATCCCGACTGCTTGACACAGATCCGTGCTGGAGTTTCCTCAAAAAAAGCACTCCAAGGAGTCCCTCTCCATCAGCAGAGAGGACAAGCCATGGAACCAACAGAGGAAGGCTGGAGGTCAGCACAGGCGCTGGGGAAAATCAGCGTTCTGTGGGTTAATTCCCTTCTGCAGAAGAGCGGGTTTGGAGCCCAACCTGCAGATGCTGGAGACCACGGGGTCGCTGGGCAATGCAGCACATCCTCTGGTGGTCACTTAGAGGGTCAGACCGAGAACTCAAGGCTGTGCCCAGCCTGGTTCCAGCCACCTGCACAGCCAGCATGGACAGGTCACCAGGAAGGAGCTCCTCATTCCTTCCACACCCCCTGACCGCTGCGTGGTAACTCTAGGTAAAGAAATCTTCAGCTTCAGGAATTAATTTCATTCAAATGCCTACCTCCCCACACACACCAACCATGGGAAGAGCCAGCTACAACCCAAAAGAAGCAGAGACATGGCTGTGGGCAGACAACAAATACCTACAGCTCATGGTTACAGGAGCACAGAAAGCGTCACTCATCCACAGCCCATCCCTGGAAGTGTCCAAGGCCAGGCTGGACAGGGCTTGGAGCAGCCTGGGATAGTGGAAGGTGTCCCTGCCCATGAGATGAGCTTTGAGGTCCCTCCCAACCCAAACCATTCCATGATCCTTTGCCTTGCTGCCCCTTTTTCAATAAAAACCACCGAGCTCATTCAGCAACAGAAAATCAAAAATTTTGCCTCGCGATGATCTATTAATCAAGCCATTCTTTAAATGGTTTCTGATTAACCACTTAAGGCTATTAAATTTTTAAACAAAGCTCCATCATTGCATTAGCAATCATTTAAAGTGCTTAAGGAGGTGTTTGTGGATTAAGGGCTTTAAAAAGGAAGCCTCTAAACACGGCTCCCAGCGCGGGGCAGAGCACAAGAAATGCCATAAGTTTCTAAATGCCAGCACAAAATATCCGAGTTTTCTCATCAGAGGAGCAGATGCCACCTCACAATTCGTGTGGCACGCCAACACGTGATTCATCTCACCCCCACAGCCACTGCTCCACTTCCCAACTCGGGGAAAGCATTTCGGAGTTAACATTTCCATGCTGCTCCCACAGCTGAGGGCAGAATTTGATCAGGACACCAAAGTCATGCTGTGAGAACCTCGCTGTGTTTGGTGACGAGGCAGCACCACCACACTTGCGGGTTTCAGTGGATTCAGCACCATCTCATCTTGCCACTGGGGTGGAGAGAACCTGCACATGCCTGGAATTCGAGCTGAGAGATTCCCTGAGGAATCAGCAGTATCCAGCTCAGAACTGAGCTATCTGTGGGACTGTCATGGTTTTGCATTTAGGGAAGCGATGTAAAGCACAAAACAAGCAAAGGTTTGTGGTGTTTTGAAAGGAGCAAAGTCTCCCTCCAAAGCTGGTACCTAAAGGCAGGGAGACAAGGATCCCCTTTGTCCAAACAGCTCCTGCAAGGTCAGTGCTGGGTGGAAAAGGGAAAGGAAAAGCTCTAAAATAAAGCAGGGGATGTAGGACAGGGCTGCTACAGGACTGTCCTGTGCATTTTTGAGCTGCCTGGTCCCTTTACACCTCGCTCCGAGGAGGGGCAGGAGATGGAGCAGCACCTCCTTCCCCAGAGCCAGACTGGGAGAGGGACAGGATGAGCATCCCGAGGTGAACACTTCCCTGCCCTCACCCTAATTCAGGAAGGAAATCCCTTCTCCCAGCTCCTCCTGATCCCCTCACACGCTTCCGGCCTCCTTAACCTCCTTCATCTAAGAGAGCAATGCTTTATAAGGCCAAAAAGCAAAAAAAAAAAATAAAAAACAAAAAAAAAAAAAAAAAAAAAAAAAAAAAGAAAAAAACAACCAAAAAATCAGTGTGCCACTACTGCAGTCCACTTTTGGGAGCACACTTCCAGGTTAATTGACAGCCCCAGAGATGAGCTGAGTTCTGGCAGCAACAAGAAGGCTCCTTCCCATTTTCCTGGTCTCTTGTGTGAAAAGGAAGGGAAGGATTTCTAATTCATGCAAGAGCTGAGAGGTGAGAGGATGCGCTTTGCTAATTCTAAAGCCTCCTTTCCGTGTTATTCCCAAATATTGTGACTGCGAGCTCGGATCCATCACGCACATTTTGATGGGGTAAATAATGAAAGAGCCTACAAGCCTCTAATTTGACGCTGACTGCAATTCCCAGTTCCAAAGACAGCTTGAAAACAGGAATAGAAACTAAACCAGTAAAAGAGAAGCACGCCCTTCTCCATTCCTAACTTTAAGAACATCAATATTAAAAAAAAAAATCAAAATAAACTCTCAACACAGCTTCCTATTTGCTCAAATAAGCATTTTTCAACATAAGTACCCAAAGTGCTTCTAGGTGGAGGGCACTGGGGTCAGGGTAGGACATGTCTTGTAGAACAACACATTTTAATGATTTGCAGCCAACAAGCAGATATCCCCCTTCCTCAGCAGGAAAAATAACTGAGCACCTAATTGCAAAACAATATCTTAATTGTCAATTTTAATCTAGGTTTCCTACTCAGATTTAAATCTGGCTTTTTTTTTTTTTTTCAAATTGCATTGATTTAACTCAATCAACCCTGCCCGAAGGCCATCTTTCCTGCATGCTCTGAGCATACCAAGCAAGTTTTAACCAATTAGATAAATCACTGAATCTCAAAACTTCCTAGCACCAACATATCAAGCCATACACAAGCCCTAATTATTCTTTTAAATACGTCTTATCCTGAAAACTTCACAAAAATAAGCAGCTCGGGGAGGGGAATTTCACCATTTTTATTTTTATTTTTTTTTAACCTAGGGCACATGATGGCCTGAAACCCAGCCAGCTGAATTCTGCAGGAGACTTGCACGGTCACTGCAAAGCCCAGTGTTTAAATCTGTTTATTATTCCCTGTGATGATGGGAATAACGCTGCTGCACGAGTTTTATTCATTTCTCTGTGTGTGTGTGTGTACACCCACACCCACACTGCAGCCTCGAGGTGTTACACTCCAGCACAGCAAGGAAAAGCAGGGAATTATGATGGACTCACCCCGAGGAAAATCCTGAATAATGGAAGTTTCTAGCACAAACAGCTTCCCAGGGACCCTGGAGCACAGTCCCCCATCAGCAGCAGTGGAAATATGCTCCTGTGACACTGCACAGATTGTTCAAAGATTCCCATGACAGGCAGAGGATTAAAAAGCAATTCCCTGCCTCTCATATTTCACATGCAAAGCCGTCTCTGGGAAAGGCAGGCAGGAAAAGATGGATCTCCCCGAACTCAAAAATGTGGGTATTCCATTAAAAAAAAAAAAAAAACAAACTAAAAAAACCAACCTCGCTGTGGTACCTTAAAAACAGCAACAGCAAAGCAGGAACTGCCCCATGGGGACAGACACAGCACTGCAAACCCGACCCAGCTTTGTATTCCCAAAAAAAGCCCTGCAAATTCCAGGCAATCTGCAAATGATTTCCCTCTTCCCCACCCAAACATCCACTGCGAACTCCTACAATCGCCAGGCAGGCTTGCAGTGAAGGGATGGAAATAAAACCATTCCTTACCTTTCACTTGAGTGTCATATTCAGCTATGATCTCCTTATCCTTTTTGAATTTTGCTGGCGACGTCATGTTTTCTTTTCCAAAAAGCTGAATAACCTCGAAAGAGATCCACTAGAACACGAGATATAAAGGCAATTTTCACTCCTCTCAGCACGATGCCTTGGCTTTCTGCTTGTCCTTCCCTCCCCCCCCCCGCAAAAAGGGAAAAAAATCAAAAAATCAGTCCATGGAGAGAGGGTGTGAGAGGGAGCACAGCAGCAGGAAAATGCAGATGTTGAGATCAGCGGATGGAAGAGGCAGCAGTTTTGTCTCCCTGCACCAAATCCTTGAGCAGCAGCATCAGCCTAGCGAGATCCTGCAGCCCCAAAGGCTCTTCCTGATCCTCAACAGCACAGCCAGGGAGTGGAAGTCCTTCCGCACATGTTTTGTGTGGGTTTGGTTTGCCCTTTTTTATTTTTTTTTTCCCTCTTCTTCTCTTTTTATTTATTTATTTCTTTTAATGGGCTCGGAGATGATGCAAATCAAATCCCAAACAAGAGCAGCAGCAGAGGGGAAGCAGCTTTGGTCTGCTTGCCTGCAAATACAAAAAAATAACAGCAATAATATATATATATATATGTATATATATTTAGAAAATGCCTGCTCGCAGCCCAAATTTGTGACGGGAAGCAAAGCTGCGCTGACACCCTGACATTGCAAATCGTCCTTTGAGCAGCAGCAGCGTGAGATTCCAACCGCAGCCCGGCCAGGTGACCGAGGGAAGGGAAGGGAAGGGAACACGCCTACCGGGGGACCGGGGATGGCTCGGGGACAGCGGCTCCTCCGGGACATCCCGGCCAGAATCCGGGCAGCGGCTCCCGGGGAACCGGGGGTGATCCGAGCAGGGGCTCCTTTGGGATGCGGCTCCCATGGGAGCTGGGGTTCATTTGGGGTGCAAGGTCCCGGCGGAGAATTTGGGGTTGATTTGGAGTGCAGGTCCCGGGGGAGATTTTGGGGGTCATTTACGGTGCAGGTCCCGGGAGAGAACTTGGGGTTTATTTGGGGTGCAGGTCCCGGGGGAACGGGGCTCCTTTGGGGATGCAGCTCCCGTGGCAATTAGGGTTGATTCAGGGTACAGGTCCCGGGGAAGAATTTGGGGTTCATTCAGGGCGCAGGTCCCGGGGGAGATTTTGGGGTTCATTCAGGGCGCAGGTCCCGGGGCAGATTTTGGTGTTCATTTAGGGTGCAGGTCCCGGGGAAGAATTTGAGGTTCATTCAGGGCGCAGGTCCCGTGGGAGATTTTGGGGTTCATTTAGGGTGCAGGTCCCGGGGGTTCATTTGAGGAGCGGCTCCTGGGGGAACGGGGCTCCCTTTGGGATGCGGCTCCCATGGGAGCTGGGGTTCATTTGGGGTGCAGGTCTCGGGGGAGAATTTGGGACTGATTTGGGGTGCAGGTCCCGGGGAAGAATTTGGGACTGATTTGGGGTGCAGATCCCGGAGGAGAACTTGGGGTTGATTTGGGGTGCAGGTCCCGGAGGAGAACTTGGGGTTGATTTGGGGTGCAGGTCCCGGAGGAGAATATGGGGTTGATTTGGGGTGCAGGTCCCCGGGCCGGGGAGAATCTGGGGAGCAGCTCCGGGGGAACGGGGCTCCTTTGGGAGCGGGTCCCCCGGGCCCCGCAGCATCCCCCGCTGACCGCGGGCTCGGCCCCACCGGCGGCAGCCCCGGGCACACCGGGCGCGCCCCCGCCGGGCGGCTCCGCCCGCGGCTTCTCCCTCTTCGGGCTTTTTTTAAGGGAGGGTGATTTAGGGTTTCTTCCAGCGCCCGCTGCGCTGTGCAGGGCGGGACACAACTTTTCCCCCGTCTTTTCTTTCCAATTTGGATTTCTTCCCCCTTTTTTTTTTGGAGGGGGGGGAGGAGGGCGGGCGCGCGGCCGCAGCCCCCCGCGGGAGATGCGCGTACCGGAGGAAGAAATAAATAAACACGGCACCCGCCGGATCCGCATCCCGCCCGGGAAGAACAATGCGGGCGGCGGGGAGAGGAAGCGTGGGGGGGTCCCGAAGGGGGGGCCGGGGCTGGGGGGACGCGGCTCGGGGCACCGGGGAGGCGGCGGGGCCGGCGGCGGAGGGCTGCCCGCGGCCCGGCGGGGGGTGGCACGGGAGGCCCGGGGGCCGGGCGGCCCGGCGGGGCGATTACCTGGGCACTGCGGAGCCGCCTCCCGCAGCCGGGCGTCCTCCGGCCGCTGGCGCCCGCCGCCCGGTCCCCCGCACCGGCCCGCCGCCGCCCGCCCCGCCCAGCGCCTCGGCCAATGGGCGCGCAGCGCTAGGTATGAGCGACGGGCGTCGCAACCAATCAGACAAGATTGAGCCCGCCCCCTCTTCCCGCCGCTGGCACTCGTGGCACCGCCCCTCCGGCCGAGCGTGTGATTGACTGAAATAGTGACCAATAGAAATGAGGCAGGGCGCTCCTTTCCACCAATAGACAGGCAGGAGGGGTGGTGCCACCGGGTTTTTCAATGGGGTGGGCGTGGCCTGCGGCGCCCAATAGGCGGGCGCGGTCGGGAATTCAAACTGACAGGTGGGAGCGTGGCCGTTGGTGCTGCAGCGGGACCGGGACCGGGACCGGGACGGGACCGAGACCGGGACCAGGACCAGAACCAGGACCGGGACTGAGACTGAAACCGGGACCGAGACCGGGATAGGGACCAGGACCGGGACCGGGATAGGGACAGGGATTAGGACCGGACCGAGACAGGACCGAGACCGGGACCAGGACCGGGATCGGTACCGGGACTGAGACCGGGATTGGGACCGGGACCGAGACCAGGACCGGGATCGGAACGGGGACCGGGACTAGGACTGAGACCGGGATCAGGACTGGGACCAAAACCAGGACCGGAACCTAGACCAGGACCGGGACCAAGACCAGGACCGGAACAGGGATTGGCACCGGAGCCGGGACCGGGACCGGGTCCCAGCCGCCATGTCCTCCGGCGGCTGCAGCTTCGAGGAGCGGAGCGTGCGGGTGCTGTGCTGCCGGTTCTGCCGGCAGGTGCTGAGCTCGCGGGGGATGCAGGCGGTGCTGCTGGCGGACACCGACACCGCCCTCTACTCCACCGACATCCCGCCCGCGGGGTAAGCGCCGGGAAGGGGAAGGGTGGGTCCCACCGGGGGACGCAGCAGCATCCCCCCAAAATCCGCTGTCACCGGGAGAACGGCCCTGCAGAACACGGATCATCCCACCCCTACCTCTCCAGCCCCGGGAATCCACGGCAGGAGAGCAAAAAGCGAGGATGTCAAATCCAAACTCCAATTTAATCCATCCGTAGGGATGCCACAGGCTCGGCAGCCACGGGAGGCTCCTCCCGCTCCGACCAAAGCGAAGATGAGAATTTGGAATAAAGAGCCGCAAACAGCACAAACCTGATCTGTCACTGCTGCCAGGACTCTCCCCCGGTTCGGCTCAGGGCTGCTTTCCCATAGCCAGATTTGAATAGTAAGGAAATCAGGTTGTGAAATGACATGGTAATCAGAAAGTATGGGTTGGAGAGGAGATAAGGAATCAAAAGTTTGGGTTGAAACATCCCAGCCTCTGAGGTATTGTTCTGTTTCTGAGCTGGGGTTTGGCAGCAATGCCCCTGTTCAGGGCTCTGGCTGGCAGTGCCACACTGAGCCCGAGAGCCCCTGAGCACCCAGGCAAACCCTGCTTTTCTGGGCTATTTTAAGAGGATTTTTGATACTCATGCAATGTCATGTGGTTCTCATTAAAGTTTCCATATGAGCGGGGCTGAGAGTCAAAAGGAAAGCAGAACCTTGCGGTTTAAACCACCCAGGGCCAATGGCAGCATCACTTTGTTGTGACACTGAGGTTGTGATCACCACATCTCCGAGCTTCTGTACGTTTCCTTCCGCCAGAACCGTCGATTTCATCGGAGGCTGCTACTTCACTGAGATCTGCAAGTGCAAGCTGAAGAACATCGCCTGTTTGAAGTGGTGAGCTCCCAACTCGTGGCACTGGCGTGTCCCAGCCCCGTGTCCCCTCCTCGCTGTCCCCTCGGGGAGAAGGAACAGCTCGCCTTCCCTGCTGCTGGGGAGAAACTCAGCCTGGACAAAGCTGCCAGGGTATTTCTGTGAGTCCCCAGCGGAAATGTGACAACATTGTCAGGAGGCTGAGTCTCCTGAAAGCTTGTGTGCCACCTGCCCGATGAAATGTCTGCCTGAACGCTGAGATTTCTCTGTGAATAAGGCCCCAGCAAGAAGCAGTTACTCATACTCTAATTAATAGAACATCCTCTTGGCAGATCGGGTTGTTGGGAGCAGATGGAACATGCTGTCGCTAAAGTTCTTGGAGTTCTTTTATCCTCCTTATTCATGCCTGATATTTAAGGGTGAAAACAACAACTCTCAAATAGCTCACAGTTATCTGAGAGAATTCTTTCAGCTCCCTAATCAAGATTTTTACATTTCCCAGATTTGAACAACTGGGTGGGGGGTTGTGATAGGGACACCATATTTTGGTTTTTAGACAGAAGTAGAGAAATGGAAATGTCTCATCAGAGAACATGGATAAATTACTGTTATGGTTTCAGTCTAGGAGAGTTGATAAGGGTCAATAATCTGGCTCAGAGAAGCCATGGCTGCCCCATCCCCATCCCTGAAGTGTCCAGTACCAGGCTGGAGCACCCTGGGACAATGCAAGGTGTCCCTGCCCATGGCAGGGGGTGGAACTGGATGAGATTTAAGTCTTTTCCAAGCCAAACCATTCCATAATTCTCAGTTTCATCACTGCTGCTGCTGGTAGCCTCCTGTGCACGGTACTTGTGTCAGGTGGATTTTGGGTGTGAGGAACTTCTCTGCTGGTTGGAACCGTTGGCCTTCCAAAGGAAAACAAATAAAGAAATCCACCAGCATTTGTTGGTATGCAAACTAATCTGGGTTACACAATTTAGGTTACTAAACGCTTCTCTGTGTGCCAAAGATCTAAAACTCAGATATTCTGTAACTCCCAACAGATGTTCCCTAAATATTTAAGATACTTGTTCACCCCGTTCCCTTAACTCTATCAAAACACGAACGTTACATAATGCTCTGGCACTGGGGCTGTTTAATTGGAGCTGGAAAAAGCCACCAAGATCCACCTTTTCCCCAGGCTCACTCTTTCCCTTGTCTTTCCAGTGGGAATGTTGTTGGCTACCATGTGATTTGTCCCTGCAAGCCCTGCCTGCTGTCCTGCAACAACGGCCACCTCTGGATGTTCCACAGCCAGGCAGTGTTTGGCATCAACAGGCTGGACCCTTCTGGTGAGGACACCTTGGTTTCCTTCCCTTCCCCTAAAACCCTCATCCCCCATCACAGAATCCACAGAATCACCAGCTTGGGAGAGACCTGAGAGATCAAGTCCAGCCTACCTCCAGCACCTCCACCCTGGCACCCAGAGCCACAGCCAGGCTTTGTTAAACACACCCAGGGATGGGGACTGCACCACCTCCCCAGGCAGAACATTCCAGAACTTTATGGTCGGATTAAGCCCTTTCCTGACCCAGAGATGGGGCAGCTGAGAGGTGTTTTAAAAACTTTTATTCCATTCTCAGTCTCATGTGAAAGGTGAGACAATACAGATGTTATAATTCACACCATCACAATCAGAAGCCAACTATTTCCTAATTCAATACATTGTAAGTGCTTCTTGGCCTATCAGCTCTAGCCACACCGTGCTGTAAATGCCCGATTCTCTACAAATTCATTTCCCACACTTTATCACTCTTTCTGTGAAAAACTTTCCTAACATCCAAGCTAAATTTCCCTTGGTGCAGCTGAGGCTGTGTGCTCTGGTTCTGTCAGCTCCTGGAGAAGGAGCCCAGCCCCAGCTGGGCACAGGCACCTTTCAGGAGCTGTGCAGAGTGACAAGGTCACCCCTGAGTCTCCTTTTCTCCAGGCTGAGCACCCCCAGCTCCCTCAGGGGCTCCTCACAGGGTTTGTGTTCCAAACCCATCACCAGCCTCGCTGCCTCCTCTGGATGAGGAGAAGGAGGAAGATGAGGATTTCCCTTCCTCCCAAACCAGGGAGGTGATGGACACCCCTTCCTCACCCTAACCAGGCACCCCAGTTTAGCCCAAGCATGAGGACGAAGCGTTGCTGATCTAGAAAACCTCTCAGGGGGAGGCAGCTGTGGATGAAAATTTCAGTGTCAGTCACTCTGCACCCCCCTCCCTATGGACAAGTCAGGGTTTTCTGCAGCAAGGCCACCACCAGTACAATAACAGATTTATTTGTAGTTTATTTACTGGGGTATGGGGATTTTTGAAGGAGTTAGAGATGGGACTTTGGAGTTTTTTAGATGATGCAATTTCATTTCCTTATTTTTTACATAGACAGAAAAGGTAAGTTTGGTTTACATCTTTACTGCATGCTTCAGAAGGTTACAATATCCTTAATTACAAGATTTTTAAAAGACTTATTAAATAATAAAACACTGCTAACAATAATATTTATGTTTTTAACTTAGTTTTGAAATATTTTTTCTTCTAGACCTGTGCTACAGTCTAAGTTTTCTTAGCTAATCATGTTATGACACAAACTTACAGTACTGCATTCATACTGTTTACCTTTGCAACTACTTTTATTTTTTCTGTATCTTAAACTCTAAAACCTTAAACTTTCTTCTTTTTAACATGTTAACAGAAATTATATTTCTGTTATATTATATTTATATAATTGGTTATATAAATATTTATCCTCTGAATTGGGCTGAAAAAAATAAACAACACTTCCAAGATCACTTTGAATAAAGATAGAAAATAGATTTATTCACCATGAACGTGACTTCCTGGGTTTTGCAGGGATTATTTTCTCTTAAAATAGACAGTTGTGCAATTTAAAAATAAGGTCACAATCCATAAATATCTCATTTTTTCCCCTCCTTTGTCTCCTTTCCACCAGGTGTGAATGTATTGCTGTGGGGCAACCTGCCAGATCTGGAGGAAAGTGCAGAGGACACATCCTGCACCTCTGAGGAGGAGTGCATCAGATAAATGTTACCTGCAGCATCTTCCCTCCACCTCTGGCCTGGCTGCCTGCTTTGGATTTATTTCATTTCACCTGGTGGCCCATCAGAGCTTAAAACAGCAGGAATAAAACAGGAAATCTGGAAAAAAAAAATCAAAAAAAAAAAGGGAATTCTTCTGGCTGTAAGCTTCCCTGGACTCCCGAATCTGCCTGAGCAGAGACACACCTTAGAAATGCCAACACAAAGTGCATTTACTGAGCTCCATTTTGCTTTTTATTCCTAACCCTCTACAGCTGATAATCCTTCTTTCCTAAAGCACTTTTCAGAGAGCAAAACCCCTCAGCTGCTTGCAGTTCAAAGGAATTTTCAGGAATAATCAGGCAGGTCTGGCAGAGCTCAGAACTGCCTCAAAGCTCTGCTGCTCTGGCTCTGGGATCTCCTGCTCTTTGCACCCCAGGATGCTCCTAAACGTGCCCTGGAAAGCCTCTTGGAGCCTTTCCAGCTTTATTTTTCAATACTTTTAGGGTTCTGTCTCCACAGAGATCAAATTCATGCTTTTTCTCCTCGACAAAACCTAAATTCTGCAGTTTCTTAGTAGAACTTCAAGGCTGCACTGGAGTTTTTCTTCAGGGCAGCACTAAAACCCATCCACTTTCATATATATATATATTTTCCCCTCTCCAAGCAAATCTCAGTCATGAAATTGGATCTTTTTAGAGAAAGAAAAAAAAAAGTTAAATATTTGGTGTTCATGCCTAATTTTCTCATCCTGAGGTGCACAGACAATCTGGTTCCTGTAGGTAATGAATTCAAAACTCATTTTCTGAGTTGTTAACAAACCAGGATGTTTTATTTCATTTATTTCAGAACTAAGTGCTGTCCCCTTCAGCTAATCACCTGAAGGCCAGCAATAAAAAAATTCCAGATAAAATCATATCAGAGAACAGAGGACACTTTTAAATTTGGATTGATGCTAAATAAATCACTCTGTAGCCTCTTGTGATACTTGAAAGGGGTGCAATGAAGACACATCTGAATTCTCTCAGTATTTTTACTGCTCGTTATGTATTTCTTAATTAATGGTACTACCTCTTTGCACTGTTTAAATGTATGTTGGTGTGTATTTTTATGTGTGTGTCTTGTTTTGAATTCCTGTGTTGTGTCTGCCCAGGCAATAAAAGCTTTGGACTGGAGTCTTCAGGGCTGTCATAAATATGGATGTGTGATGATATCAGATCATCAAAACAATGAAAAAGCATCTTGGATTAAAAGTAGAATAATTAAGGTTTTAGTATTATGAATTGGTTTTAGACAACCCAAAAATAGAATCACTTTAGGCTGACAAACCTGACAGTTTCTCAGTCTCAGTTAACCCTTCTAAAACTCAATATCCCAATTTTTGCCAGGTTTTTGTGATCACTACAGCATCAAGCTGCCAAGGTGACACCTCAATTTTTTTTTTCCCAGCAGAATTCATGAGCTAAAAATAAATCTGATTGTTTTTACATAAGCACCACAATAGTTCAAACAGAATTGTGCCTGTTGCCACTCCAGCACTTGTTGTTTGTAACCTTCACCATTCTGAGTCAGCAGCTCCTCTCCCACAGGGAAGCAGAGGGTGAATTCCTCCCCATCAAATCCATAATTCTGGTTTTTGTTTTTTTGCTCCCCATCTGTACACACAGAACTGGAAGTTCTACCATGAACTCGCTCAAACAGGCCTGTGTAATTAAAGCAGTTCTCCTCATCAGCTGGAAATTAAGAACCAGGCAGCTTTTGAAGGAGTTCAGACCTTTCTTGTTGACAACAAAGAAGTTGTAGGTATTATACACAAAGTATGCAAACATCCCCTATTGCCCCAGCTGTCATGAATGTCACCAAGGTAATCAATCATGCCCAGGGCTGCTCCTTTCTGCCAGAAATTAAAAAAAGAACTTACTGAGCAGTTTGTGTTAAAGCCACAGCAGCTCATTCACAGAGCCCCAAAGTCTGGGGTTCACTTTCCAAGGATCACCACGGTTATGGACAGATTTTACCCCAAACTGGCACAAAACCAGATCAACACTTCTAGAAGCACTCCCAGGTCCTTCACCCCACCCAAAGCTGTGTTTGTAATAAACAGCTCAGGTCTCTGCTTTGCTTTCTCTCTGGTTTTTGGCACATCAAAGGTGTCGGTGCTGTGGCACAGCCCTGGATGTGCTGTGATCACCTGGAGGGGGTGGCTGTGTGTAAAAACACACCAGCACAGATGGTGGAGACACCCAGGACGGACAGACCAGCAGGATTCTGTGGCAGATCTGTGATCCAGGAGGTGCTGCTCCTTTTGGTGAGGATTTCCAGGGACATTGGATGTGATCTTTGCTGAAACACGAGGCTGAAAAACAAGAGCTGCATCCCAAGGCCTTTCCTTCTGCTCATCCAGGCACCCGAGGCACAGAGCAATTAAAGTGTCTCTAATCACATGTGGGCTCGTTAAGGAGCCACCACCAGGCAAAAGGTCCCAAATTTTAGACTCCAAGTCAGGGTTTCTGCAAGGCTCCAGCTGGCACCGAGGGCTCTGCTGGAGCTCTGTGCCCATGGGCTGCATCTCCTGGGCCACCCCAGACCTCAGCCCGGCAGTTTGGAACATCTTGTGCAACACAGACTTGTAGGTTCAGGGTCACAGACTTGTTTGGATGAAAATATTTGGAGCTGGGATTCCAAAAGGTGCTGGTGATTGTCAGAATCTGAGGTATTGATGATTCTGACATTGTAAAAGTCTCTGTCTGTCAGCCCCCTGCCAAAGCAGAAGCCAGAATTGGTCTGTGCTGGTTTCCAGGTTGTTTATTCTGTTGATCTCTCACATGTTCTGCTGCCCTGCCCAGCTCTGTCCTGCAGGGCAGCGTGTGGGGCTCTGCCCTCAGTGGGATGTGACAAACATTAAATACCAGAAACTCCCTGGGCTGCATTTACAAGAACGTGCCAATATCTGTCACCTACGTTGGACAGTGTGTCCCCAGCCTGAACCAACAGAAAAATGCCAACACCACAGTGAGACATGGAGGGCATGAAGAAGGAGAAAAAGGACAAGACACACCCAATTTCCTCCATCTTGTCCCCTTTGGACCCCTCATCTAGAATCCTAAAATTTTACTTTTGCACCCGTGCCACACTTAATTATGACTTATATCAAACACTCAGAGCTTGTAGTTCATGCTGTAAGATTGAAAACTCTTTTCCATGGGCAGAGATCACAGCCAGTGTCTCTGGGGGCTCTGTCCAGGGGGGTTCCTGACCCCTCCAGGGTCCCAGGACAGCCAGAGGGAAGCCCTGCACTCCCACAGGTGATCACTAACCTCAGTTTGATTTTTGAGTCACAGGGAGCTGTGTGATCACTGTTATTGATAGCCAACCATTTTCCTCCCTGCAGAGCACAAAATCAGCTGGAGGGGCAGGGGAAACCCTGAGCAAGACAGTGACAAACTGATACCCCTCCATATTAAATAAGACTTAGTGAGAGAAAAAGCCCATTTAAATCTTCTTCCTTATCCCAGCATAGCCTAAAGCCTCATCACAGGCTCACATTTATGTACCACCGTTCATCCCAGAGTGCTTTACCATGACAAACAGCAAGGAATTCTCCTGCCACTGAACTGCAGCCAAGTGCAGGCTGCAGAGCAGCTGCCAAGCAGGCAGAGAGTGGCCAGGCAGTGCTGAGGCATCACTGTGGCATGAAATTCAGAGTGTGATC